ACGCGTCCTTGGAGGACGCAGCCCAGGTTTTCGAACAGAGCCTCTGATTAAGAACAGGGCTGCCCGCACTGACTCGGCTCAGGGATTACGTCACACGGAGCGTTGTGCGCAGTGAAATCAGGACATTTCCTCACTTTCTAAAAAAAACCCGGGACGCCCGGGACAGGACGTGAAATACGGATATGTCCCGGGAAATACGGACGTTTGGTCACCCTATCTTGTAGTATAGTTTATCATTGAAGATTATTGAAATTTGGACATGAAGAAGGGTTTTGAAGTTTATATTAAAAAAAAAAAAATAGATACATTACCTTACATCACATAGCCCTGGAACATAAATTCCCAGAGCTACATTGGCTAAACAGGACACAAATAAATTAATTAATTAAATAAGAGAGGGGAAAGAAATCTTGGAAATCTTGCTACTGATTTCAGCTTCAGAAGGAGGATTTCATATTCTAATTATTCAGTGGATTATAAATTCACAGTGAAGTGGTTATTAATGTGCTTTTCTGTTACAATTTAAAAATATAGATATGATAAATTGAATATATGTCGACTTTTTTTTATAAACCATATATTAAAAATAAAAAGTAGTCTGGTTTTCCTGATAGTTGTGGGGAAAAAAAAATCACGTCAAGATTTTTTCCCCCACATTTTTTACTAAATTTGCTTGACCTTTTGTACAAATCTACTTTGCCTTTGTTTCATCCAAACTTTTAAAAAAAGCCAAATATTCACAAGACGGACCAAAAACAGAATCAGGCAAAATTACACATAAAGGGTTCATTGTTAGCTGAAAGTACAGCACTAGGTGGTACCATTAAAGCTTTATAAAATCCTCAAATTTCCACTTTAAAAAGAAAATTGATGGTTGATTAAAGAACATTCTCCTTTTGTTATGGTTGCCTTTTCTTAGAGTTCTTGCCTCCATGTACAGCTGTTGAAGTCAAATTATATAGTCGCATTCTCAGCTTTATTGTAATGGTAATTACAGTTTTATTGCTATTTTTTCAGGAGTGAAATGATTTTTACAACATACAGCTGAAGTCAAAATTGAAATGCACTGATTTTTCTCTAATTTATGCATGGTCATATTACATACAGTACAGGCTCTAATATTCAGGCCTGCAGTGAAAAAAAAATTGCATTATTGTACATGTGTAAATGAAATGACTCAATAGCAGAGGCAAGTTACAGATGTTGTAACTTAATTTTATAATAATCCTGAGGAAGTTTTAATTATATTTCTTAAAAATTAGAAGGTATCTTTTAGTAATCTTTGAGTATCATTTACATATATTAAGCCAAACCAAATCTTGTCTTTTTTTCCGAAATCAAAGTGTGTCAACCTAATTCTGATATAACACTAGTGCTGTTGCAATTTATCAGATAAGTCTAATTAGATGCAGTGTCAAATCCATTAATATTGTAATTTGAAATAAAATTTCATGTCTTTATAAGTGGTTTTCCTGCTTTAGTTTTGAAACCACAAAATTTTCACATTTAATTTGTTTTGTATGTTGTACCGCTGTGATATATGCAACATAAAAAAAGTAAAGCCCTAAACACACCAAATCCGATTTGGCATCGGATCCGACAGAAAAACATGTCGCAAAAGGTCGTGGCATTTAGCAATCATTAAAAGTCAATGGGGATGATCACACCCGACACAATTTATATATATATATATATATATATATATATATATATATATAAAAATATATATATATTATATATATATATAATGTACACATTCTAACAGTCTAATCAGTGAGACTATCAGCTGTGTATCCACCTAACTTCTGCGCATAAAAACTGATGGTCCCATTCCAATTTATAAGGCAAGAAATCCCACTTATGAAACCTGAAATGAAAACCATTTCAGGTGACTACCTCTTGAAGCTCATCAAGACAATGCCAAAAGTGTGCGAAAGCAAAAGGTGGCTACTTTGAAGAACCTAGAATATAAGACATATCTTTAGTTGTTTCACACTTTTTTGTTAGGTATATAATTCCACATGTGTTAATTCATAATTTTGATGCCTTCAGTGTGAATCTTAAATTTTCATAGTCCTGAAAATAAAGAAAACTCTTTGAATGAGAAGGGGTATCCAAACTAAAGCAATCTCAACCTGTCAACGTGTAACGGATTAAAACCCACTTGGCTTTCCATATTCGTTTCAATATCTGCGCTCCTTATAGTGTATGTTTTGTGCCACCAACCTAAGTGTGCAGTGAGAACAATGTGCACAAAGGCAGTGTTTAAACTCATGCTCCATATCACCAGCAGCTCAGTAAGCCCTATGTATAGCAGCTTGATAAACGGCAGGCATGGTGATTACTGTAATCGGTGTACAAAAACTACAGACTTAAACTGCATTTACAAAAACATTTAGTGCAAGTATATGTAGTTTGTTATAGATGTAATATTATTAATGACAATTTTCTAGGATAAATTTACATTCAAAGAGGCTTTACCAAGCCTCCGCTCAAGCTTTAAAGTCCAAACCTAACTAGCCCGTGATTGATTTGATTATGATTGATAACAGTCCATTTCCAATTAGTTTTTGCTGTCATGTACTTATCATCTGTTTAGACACACAGTGTTCCCATCCAAAGGTCTAATATGATTTTCTCTGCTTTCATTTCCTCTCATAGAATGCAGAGGGCTACAATATGAGCATCCCAATGCCTGGACACCCTGTGAATTTCTCTCAGGCCACTCTCTCTCAGGCCCAAAAAGATGTGGAGCAGCTGGAGAAGCTCATTTCCGAACATGATGTGGTGTTTTTACTCATGGACACCAGGGAGAGCCGCTGGCTGCCCACTGTCATAGCTGCCAGCAAGAGAAAGGTAAGAAAGGAGAAGTACAGGATGTGAAATGGCCTTCCACTATTGGCCTTGGGTTGAAGTTCAGGAGCAATTAAAGTTCCACTTTTGATATTTTACATATTAACAATGACTGACATAATGACATGCCACATCTAAGTGGACACCTGCTGCTGGGCGGGCTGAGCAAATTTACATAATGCTTTGAAAGGCCCTTTAGCCCCATTCAAAACACTGTGTATTTTGATGGGATGCCCTATGCCACCACTGTCACAAAGCTCCGATAATGCCACTGAACAGCTCCATCCATCTGTCTGTACGTACATACATACGTACATAAAATTGTTACAACCATCTCACTCCTTAATTTTATTACAATGAATCAACCAAATAATATTTTATTCTTTATCTTTTAGTTGTATTTTTACAA